GGGTGGGGCAAGGGCTGGGGGATTTAAAGTAAGAATTCCGTGACCCCCCTAATAATTCAAGTACCCAGATTCCTCCACAGTGCCTTCCTGCTTTGGTCAGCACCTGCTATAGCTGGTAAGACTCCTTACCAGTGACAGCCCACTGACCAAAAAGCGGGAAGACTTTGGGCACAGATTTAGTTAACAAGGAAAAGGCTTTTGTCCATTCGAAGGGGCTGGACCCTCCTCAAAAGTTTAGTTACATTTTACAGATGATTCCCCTCTGAAGCCCCCCCCCCCCCCAAAGCGTTTGAAGAAAGATTGCAGTAGAATTGAAGGGGTGAAGGATTAAGGAAATATAATTTAGTAAAAATCTTTCTTCCTATCTGCCACCCAACCCCACTCTTCCCTCTCCACCACTCTCAGCAGTGTAGAGTTGAATTTTATGTCTTCCCATTACCCACTCTTCTAAAAACCTCGAGAAGATTGTGCTTCAAGTGTTTTGGATTCATGTTCTCCTCAAAGTCATCTGTAGAAGGTGAGGAGAAACGATTTCCATCTTGTAAACTGAGTCAAATTTTGACTTTTTTATAACGTCAGAAACGTTTTTAAAAGTTTATTAAAATACTTGTCACGCAAACCAAGCGTGACGTTTCTGTCGTTATCTGTGATGCTTGTAGAAGTATTTAAAATGAGGAACAAATGTCCCAGATCGCAGAGGAGGAGGAGTGGGTTTGACTTCATTTGTTGTTGGTTTTGCTTCAACAGCTTGGAAGGTGAGTGAGATTTTAGATGGAGCAGCACCTGCACACACAAGGAAAACTATCAGTTAAAATATCTCAGAATTTAAACTCTGGTTGTGGAAAATTAATTATAAATTGTTTAAATAAAAGTTTACTAGAGCGGATGCAATTAAACCGTGAAATAAAATCAAACTAAATACTAACTAATAGTATCTATTTAGTGACTAATAGTCACTATTACTCAACCAGAACATTCATCATACAAAGACAAATACACAAGAGACCATTTGTGTCTTTTGTTTCTGTACTATGATATCTTCCTGTACGGGATTTCTCAATAATATCGTATCAAAAAGAAACCACTGCCATAGTTGAGTACGCAAATCCTTTTTATTCTTGCACTATTGAATCTGGTAATGATCTGGTCAACAACGTTGGCGGGTCAGTTAAAACAATTACATAAAGATATTAATCCCGAAAGTTCGTCTTACTTCAAACGAGTGTTACACTATACTGAATTAAAAGGGTAGAACGCTAAGAGATTAAGTTAATCTCTTGTCAATCAAATAATTGCTGAATACGCTGATTACTATGGAAACAGCTACA